ACAGAGATCTGTATACACATCTCATACAGATATGATTCCTCCCAGGAAAAGAAGAACAAAAAAAAAAAACAGAAGAGGAATTCACAAAGGAAGCTAAGACTTAGAAAAATCTGTAACTGAGGAAATTAGGCATCAAGTCCTTCTGCTTCACATGTTCAGAAAATACACACTGATCTGCCGTAGCAAGTTGGTTTTGTTCATGAATAGCCAAAGATGTCATCCAAGCATGGTGTACACACTGTAAACCCAGCACTGGAAGCCTCAGAGAGAGGACATAGTGATATCTATTTCAACTAGCAAAACAACTGTCCTAAGTGGGAAAACCAACAGCAAAAAGTTAATGGTGAAATAGGTGACTAGAGACATAGCTAGAGAAATACTTCAAAAAGCCAGATTTTTATGGGCAAAATAGAAAATCGATCTTTTTTGGGGGGGATGTCAGTGAGATACATTTAGGTCTGAAGAATAGGTGTAAAACTCAAGTTATTAGTTCTGTTTTTCCAAGCACTGGTTGAGCACTACCATATCCAAGGACAGGGTTTATTGGTTAAGAAAATCTTCCACCTATCTCTTAAAATTGAACAAAATTACAAAGAAAGTCACCTAAATGTTGTGATTCAGTGGTCTGTTGGAGAAGTATGTGGCTTTCACTGAAACTGTGACAACATAGAAGCTGTCCTTCACCCACTAGGACTTTACAGACTGGGGAGGTATCAATGGAAGGTAACAGCAAAGTCTTCCAGAACAAAAGTCAGAAGACAGGATCACCAGATGAGGCCCAAGTCAGAGATGGGCTACCAACTTAAGAACCTCAAACAAGATCGCTCTGCGCAGAAAGAGCAGTTGATAAATGTATAACAGTAAAGGATGCATTTTTTCAAGGTCCACATGGTGTTGACTGCTACTCAAAGATGCAACGCAAAGGCAGAAGAAGGTGTAGCTGTTGAGATGAGCAAAAACCAACCAGAATGAACTCCGAACCAAATTACTGGGATCTAATATTGAAGGCCACATTAATCAAGGGATAGTATACAATATTTTTGCTGTAGTGTGGAAAAGGTATGGTTGTGAGCACAGGGAGAAGGAGGCTAGCCAGATTTAATTTGCTCCCAATAATTCAATCCCCAAAAAAATTAGAATGGAAAAGGGAGAAGAAGAAAGGAAGTGTTGATGTCTGAAACAAAGTGGAGTAATGAGAGGAAGTGCTCAATAGAATTGGAGAGATATTTAAAGCACAGAGTCAAGTCTATATCAGTGTTATAAAAGAAAAGTACTGTCAAAGGAGATGAATTGAGTTTTGGGGCAGGTTTTCTGTGGGGAGGGGTTGTGGGATCTGGTTATCTCTTTTATGCCGATATTACTGCCCAGACAAAAAAGACCAAAGCATCTCTTTGCATAATGACAGCACTCACTAAGATAATAAAATACAAGTATTTCATAAGAAAGTAGATGAAACTATGACATATCTGTGAGTCATGCAATGGAGATGCAGACTAGCCAGGTAAAAATGTGGGTATAAGGATGTTAGGAGAAATCTGGGATGAAGATAATATGAAGTCATCAATGATACGGCCTTAGCTTCTGACGCTACAAACTGAATAAGATCCCTCAAATGGGCAAACTGGGCAGATAAAAAAAAACAAACAAAGAAAAAAATGGCTAAACCCTTAAATGCAGGCTTTTAAGAAACAAAGTAAGTTGAGCCCCAAATTTTTTTCAGTTTTTATTTAAATTAGAAACAATCTTATTTTATATATCAATCCCAGTTCCCTCTCCCCCTCATCCTCCCATACCACCCACTGACCCCCTACCCATCCCTCTTCTGCTCCATAGAAAGGGTGAGGTCTTCCATGGGAGATCATCAAAGTCTGTCGCATCATTTGTGGCAGGGCCTAGGCCCTCTTCCATGTGTCTAGGCTGAAAGAGTATCCCTCTATGGGGAATGGGCTCCCAATGTCCGTTCATACACTAGGGACAATTACAGTTCCACTACCAAAGGCCCCATAGACTGCCCAGACCTCCTGACACCACATTCAGGGGGCCTGATTCTATCCTGTGCTGGGGTCCATGAGCTCCCCTTTCTTCAGGTCAGCTGTTTCTGTGTGTTTCCCCGGTCTACTCTTGACCCCTTTGCTCTTCACTCCTCCCTCTCTACAACTAGATTCCAGGAATTTGGCTCAAAATTAGCATGACTAAAAATATACAAAGAAAGTCAATTTAATTTGGTGCCCTTGAAAGCAAGAATAGAAAGTTCTGAAAGAAAGAGGCTAGGAGCAATAAATTAGGTATTTCAGGGGGAAAATAGCATTACAACAAAAATTGCCAGTAGACAACATGGGCTTTGGAAGGCTTCATTGGAGAGGTCTTTTTTGATGCAAGAATTCACATTATTTTAAAGGTTGATGTGCTAATGGGGCACATGATCATGTAGCATCATATGATTCCTGAAGAAATTTTAGGAATTTGAAACTTGGTAGGGGTAATTTTTTAAGAATAAAATCTTACATCACATGTACATTCTTATGGGAAAGCCCTGATACAAAATAGGAAAATCAGTGAGGTGAGGCTCACAAGAAGTGCCCGAAATTGAAGCAGAATGCAACAATACCGTATGATCCATTTCTCACTGTTCAGTACCAATGTTGGTTCATCCCAATCCTTTGGCATCCCATTCTTGAGTTGACTCATTTTAACCCATGAGTGTCAGTATGATTTGATGACTAGAACATAATTACAGTTACTCTAATTTTGCTCTTTAGCTTTACATATATTTGTCCAACTGACTTAAATAGCATGACAAGTAAGTGCAAAGTTCTTAAAGTAGTTTCATATATACATATATATGAATTAATTAAAAGTAATTTTATTATGAGTAATATTATCTGGCATACTTAGTGATAGACTTTCTCATTTTTCATGTTTTTATTATTCCCTATAACAGATTGGATCCCCCACATTTGGTAGAACAACAACAGATACACCCTGTTGCAATTCAGATGTATCTACAATGGAGTTTAGCAGGATCTGTTAATAGCTACAGAGATTCCTGTTATAAGCTTGGGATAGTTGAGAATGTCCTCAGAGCAGTTACACTGTGCTCATTTGCATACTATCATTGATTTTTTGTACCTTATTTGGGGTCATTCAGAACACTGACTTCCTCAAATGGAAATTAAAAACTATGCACATTAAATAAAACAAAAATAAAGCATTCTGGAACTATGAGATGTAAGCAAGCCTGGCTTTAATTCTTGATGTGAACTTTGAATTGTGGGCCCAGCCATAGCTCTTGTTGGGCTCACCTTTGGCAAGCCATTATTCTTCTTTGCTTTTCATGATCTTTATAAATTGGGCATTACCTTCCATGTTCTTGTCCTAAGTGTTTGGGAGAACATATTGCAAGTCTCTGTATGAATCCAAGAAAATACCCTTTAACCCCAGTAGCTAAAGGAGAAATAGAAACTCAAGAGAGAACGCTATAGATGGGAATCAACTGCAGTCTACAGCCAGTGGGTTTGATTCCGAGTCACCACTTTCTATACAGAGGCCCTATAACATGCCATTGTCAGAAGCACTCTACGGTCATCAAGACCCTCCATCAGCTTCCTTCCTGTGGCACTCGGAGTCACTCAGGTGCTGCTTCCCTAAGTACCATGGATGTCTCCTCGAGGCTCTTAGGTAGTTGTTCCTTTAAGCAGAAAGTGTCCCTGTCAGGTAGGAACACAGTGTCTGTAATGGGTAGGACAAGTGACAAGGAACAAGACTCTTTCATTATTGAGCTTCTTCATGTTTTCTTGTCCTCCTTTCTCATTGCTTTCACGGCTACCAGAGAGGCAGCTGAGTTTAAAAAGAGAAGAAAAAAGGAGAGTCACAGTCAACCATAAGCCTGGCTATTTGTAATCATTGTATAGCCTCAGTGATGAAATTTGTAAGTAATTCACTTCCCACACTCCCCAATGAAACCTACCAGAGTGGGATCTAATGTTGCCACCCTGAACACTAATGAGGGAGCCACGCAGCAGTACTGCTTGCCCTTGGGGACTCATTTTTCACATCACCAAAACGTAATTTCTGTCATTTTCAGCCATCTGGTTGACTGGATTGTGAAGATGAAATTCTGTTCAAGAAGTGTTTTAAGAGTGGACTCTGCTGGGATTCAAATGTCTTTTCTGGTTTCTCTTATTCTCATTTGGGCCTTTGTTCCTTACCTATAGATAAAATCTTTGTAGAAAACCCTATTTTTATTATATGAAGTGATTGAAATGATATTTCTTGAGCAAACTATGCATCATGGTAGATAGAATGCATGTTTAATTAAAGTTAGCTTATCATTCAGTTGCTATTAGTGTTATTAATGGCAGTGTTAAAATAATGCTGTAGTATGTTTATAATGTCTATTTACTCTACACAGTGCCCATTAACTCAGTTTACATCATCTAGCCTGTTATGTATATTTAGTATATAACATCTGTAGGAGATTATATGTAGAAGCTTTCAATTTCATTGATTATCTTATGAATTTTATATGTGGGTACCACATCTAACTAACACAATGCTATGACCTAACAGTAAATATCGACTATTCTTTCCTATGCAGTTAGAGGATATACTATATTCTTTGTTATGTATAAAATAAGAAATTCAAGTGATTGTGGAGTAGAAATTAATTGTAAAATTGTTAAGAATGTGCATACCTTCTAATATTTAAGTAAGACTGTCGTTACCAGAAAAGAGATAACATGTTTTTATTATACACGTCTTCAGTATTTCCTACTGCACTCACATGGCCAAAGTGGGAGGATTTTTCACCTTATAGATATTTTAGGAACTCTAGAGGGATTTGGAGAGGAAATAGCAAGTACTAAAAGTATCCTGGCTACTTAGTGTGAAATTTCAAATTTAATAATAAAGTCTGAAATGTACTAACTACAGCTTGCTTTACTGCCATGATTACAATAGATATATATATGTATATATATCTCATTTCCTTCTGCCTACAGTTCCACCAAAGATCTCCAACATCTCCTCGGATGTCACTGTGAATGAGGGCAGCAATGTAACCTTGGTCTGCATGGCCAATGGCCGCCCTGAACCCGTTATCACCTGGAGACACCTTACACCAACTGGTAAGCAACTGGCCAGATTCTAAGATGCCACATAATATTTAATATTCTATTGCATGAAAAGGGAAAACATGCATCTTTTTATTGAAACTCAGAAAACTGCAGTATAGATCTTGTTTAGGGTTCCACAGTTTATGCTAATGTGTTCACCTCTTTAACTTAGTAATATTTGTATCTATATCTATCATTTATCTAACATCTACCTAATCCATTATAAATATTGATACATAAAGTTGTCACTGAACATATACTAACTCTCAAAAGAACAACTATAATAAACAATAAATAATACAGATACACATACATGCATATATACATGTATATATTATGTATGCAACAGAAATAATCAACGAAAAAGAGACTATCAATTTGAGGGCAGGAGGGTTATAGAGGACTGAAGGGAGGAATGGAAAGAGGGAAAGTGATATAATTATGTTCCAATTACAACATATTTAAAAATAAAGTGTGAAAATATAACATATATCTAAAACATACAGTATTTTGTTAGTTCAGTGTCTTAGCTGGGTCCCAAGGCTACTGTGGTTTGTGAGCATATTTAAGCGTTTTACCAGATGATTCAGGATTAAGGTTGAATTCTCCCCTCTTATTCAAATTATGTTTTCTTATATGCAAAATTATGTCTTTGCGATCTACATATAATAGTACCTTCTATTTGATTATTCCAAATAAGGTATACCAAGTCAATTATAAACAATTATAGATAGATTATTCTTAGAAAGTCACACTAGTAAGTAATTTGGGCTTTTAACTGACTTATGTCTGATAGTCACATATAATTTCTCTATAAAAGTATCTAGATGCTTAATTTTTGAGTAACTGGCTTTGAAATAAATACCAACAAACTCATATAAGACTAGGTGTACAATGATGCACATCCTGGTATCAGGATAATGTTTGATTGTAGTGTTTCTAAGTATTTCTTGACTTTTATGGTAAGATAATAGGGGGGCTCTTTTTAACATCATAGTCCAAATTAATATCCAGGAAAGTTTGTGTCAACCTGACTCTGCTATTTAGGGAGTTTTTTATTAGAGAATTCTATTCTCTTAAGAAAATGTTATTCAAAACCCATGCTTACTTATGGATGCATCCCTTCACTTATTAATATTGTATAAGAATATCACTTTAGGGGAATCAATATCAAACTTCAGAGTCCTTTTTATCCTGGAAGGTTCACAGTAAACCCAAACCTATTCTACCTACCTGGTCCACAGGATAATATTGTTGGTTTTGCCTACTGGTGATTTAGCATTCAAATATTGTACTGTATCTAAACATTTTGACAAAGACAACATCTAAAACCATTGTGTTTACTAAATGTTATTGAAATTTTATTTAATTCCCTCCATAATTTCACACTGAAAGAACTCTTTCAGGAATTTCCCTCTTTATTTTCAATAAAATATTTTCTCTACTTGTCTTTTCCAAAGCAGTGTTTGTTTCTAGCAAATAAACCAAAAGATCTTACATAAATTATAAAATAAATTATCATGGTCCTTCATTGTATTGACTTTTGGTAGAGTCACTGCCCAGTTATGACCAATCTGTTAAGAACATAAATTATTATATAAAAACTACATATTAATAAAATTGATTTTAAACATTCCACTTAGGTGTTTATGGCCTTAAATTTGTATGTAAACCACACTTCTTCTTCATACCCTTATTTTTAAATTTTCTCACCTTTTGTAATTAAATTTAAATTTATAAAAATATTTTATTAATCTTTTAATGTCATTCAAGATGTAGGTGTCAGATTAAAAAATGAAAAATGTAGGATTTAAGGAAAGAATTTATATTTGTGCCATAATCAATAAGGAGCCCTATTAATAGAAAGACTTTATTCTGGTACAATTTTGAATAGTTAGTAGGATTTTCAGAGAACAATAAAATTGTCCCTAGAGCCTTCAAGTACTCCATTTCAGTCCTCAAATTTAGAAAGAATCTGAGACATAACCATATTTTCATGATCTTTGCTTGTTTGTCAGCAAGCTTGCATTACGGGACTAGACCAAATAAAGTTCTGTGTAATAATAAACATCTGTCTTGAACCATTAATAGGGTGGTTTCTGTGATGATTCAAGTAAAACAAAGAACAGAGGTCCAGTGGCATCTCGCATACTAAAGAGAGTATTTTCCTGTATCCCCAGAGCACTAGAGACTTCCAAACCAACTTCAAAATTTTGATGAATTCATGATTCTACATACTCAAAACCAGGGATTAACACATTATAGTCTGTGGGTCAAATTCTATCTGCCCCACTCATATACTCACTGTCTGCAAGCCACAATGCTTAAAAACTTCCTCAATGGTTGCACATAATAAATGGAATTCTGAATTTTAAATACAGAGCAAATGTATAAACTTCAAACTTGAGTACAGATACATAAGATTTTGTTGGAAATGCAACCATGCTGATTTATTTGCATTTGATCCATGGCTGCCTTTGATCTAAAAATCATATACATTGCTAAAAGCAAAAAAAGTACTTAGCTTACAAAGCTTAAAAAATGCTAATTTCCCCATTAGATTAAAATGTATACACCTCTACTTAAGGCCATAGCCAGAGACATAAACAAAGATTTATTAAACTCACATATAGTCCATAGGATTTGTATGTATCCTGTGTCAGATTTCTTCTTTGCTTGTTTATAGTTGTATGTGAAGCCTTTCTCTCTGTACCAAATTATATGCTAGTATACTCATAACAACTCCTTGATGCATTTTCGTATTCAACATCAGACCACTCTTCCCCTTACAATGGACATCACTTCCCAAGCTCACTCTTTCATCTCCCACACAAAGGCAACTAATAACCAAGTAATCACTTGACCAAAATCATCTTCCTAGTGACAGGTAAGAGAACTGGATTTGTCTATTCTTTAATAGAACAAATTAGGTTGTGTGTGTGTGTGTGTGTGTTTCTTTGAGAATTTAGAAAAGGGTGATCTTTTCAGGCAATCCATTGTCACCTTTCTCAGAGACACTGAAGAAAGAGACTTGCTCCCTGTACCACAGTGGAGTTGCCTGCAAATCATTGTCACATGCTGATGAAAATCGAGATCGCTTTGTTCAATTATTAATTGGGTCTTTCGCAGTACAGTGTGTGACTGCCTTCCAGAGGAAATCTACCTGTGATTAGTTAGATCCCACAGGGGACACAGAGATAGAAAGGGGAAGATGTCATGCAGGGAATCACAAATGTCTGATTACATGTCAGTTGATGACATGAAAAAAGGAGCAATGGAGAAAAAAATGAATGGTATAACATTCTAAAGAACATTATCTTTTTTTATATTTTATTTTCCAGTTTAAATTTAGATAAGAAACGAGGTTGCTTCACAAGTCAGTTCCAGGTCCCTCTCCCATTCCCTCCCCTCCTCCCGTGCCCTCCCCCAACCCCCCAACCCGTTATCCCTCATTCCCCCAGGGAGGGTGAGGCCCTCCATGGGGGTGTCCATAGTCTGTCATTTCATATAGGGCAGGGTCTAGACCCTTCCCCAAGAGTTCAGGGTGAGAGTGCACCTCACATTGTTCTATGTGAGTCCAAAGTCTGTGTATACTTGGGATGGGTACTGATCTGCTGCCCAAGGCTCAATAGATTCCCTAGGCCTCCTCACTGACACCCAGATTCAGGGGGTCTTGATCAGTCCCATGCTGGATTCCCAGGCTGATGCCTGGGATTCAAGAGTTAACCTTTGTCTGGTCAGCTGTTTCTGGGGGTTAAACCAGCCCAGTCTTAATCCCTTTGATCATCAGTCCTCCCTCTCTGTTACTGGCTTTCTTGAGTTCAGCTCAGTACTTAACCAAGGGAGTCTGCCTCTTCTTCGATCAGCCACTAAATGAAGTTTCTGTTTCCCAGACTCTCTGGCCATAGGATTGTAGGCTGGCACTCACCAGATCTATGTCTAAAATCCATATATGAGAGAGTGCATGCCATGTTTCTCTTTTTGTGACTGGGTTACCTCACTCAGGATGGTTTCTTCTAGTGTCATCCATTTGCCTGTGAATCTCATGATTCCATTACTTTTTTCTGCTGAATAGTACTCCATTGTGTAGATGTACCACATTTTCTCTATCCACTCTTCGGGTGAGGGACATCTAGGTTGCTTCCAAGTTCTGGCTATTACAAATAAAGCTGCTATGAACATAGTGGAACAGACATCTTTGTTGTATGAATGGGCATCTTTTGGATATATGCCTAAGAGTGGAGTTGCTGGGTATTGTGGTAGGTTTATTCCCATTTTTCTGAGGAATCTCCATACTGATTTCCAGAGTGGCTGAACCAGTTGGCACTCCCACCAGCAATGGAGGAGTGTCACCCTTTCACCACATCCTCTCCAGCATAAATTGTCATTGGTGTTTTTGATTTTAGCCATTCTGACAGGAGTGAGATGGTATCTCAGAGTTGTTTTGATTTGCATTTCCCGGATGGCTAAAGATGTTGAGCACTTTCTCAAGTGCCTCTCAGCCATTTTAGACTCCTCTATTGAAAACTCTCTATTTAGTTCTGCAGCCCACTTTTTAATAGGGTCCTTTGGTGTTTTGGAGACTTGCTTCTTGAGTTCTTTGTAAATTTTGGAGATCAACCCTCTGTCAGATGTGGGATTAGTGAATATTTTTCCCATTCTGTGGGCTGCCTTTTTGTCTTACTGACTGTGTCCTTTGCCTTACAGAAGCGTCTCAGTTTCAGTAGGTCCCATTTATTAATTGTTGATCTCACTGTCTGTGCTACTGGTGTTATGTTCAGGAAGCTGTCTCCTGTACCAATTCATTCAAGGGTACCACCCACTTTCTCTTCTAAGAGGTTCAGTGTGGCTGGATTTATGTTGAGGTCTTTGATCCATTTGGACTTAAGTTTTGTGCATGGCGATAAACATGAATCGATCCGCATTCTTCTACATGCCAGTCTCCAATTATGCCAGCACCATTTGTTGAAGATGCTTTCTTTATTCCATTGTATATTTTTAGCTTCTTTGTC